TAAATTACAAAAATACATAGTTCCAAAAAGACAACCTAGAACATGGCCCATTACCGCTAAACATATATAAGAAAAATGTCTTCTTCACAGGTACAAGCCTTCATCGACTAGATCGATCTCCCCTAATTGGCAATCCTTTAACCTGCAACTTCAACTCTATATGGATGGAAAAATCGAAATGAGCTATAAAGCCCAGTAAGAGGATCATGAATTTATGCACCTATAACATATCTATTCAGGCATTATAAAGAATTATTTTATCTATAAGCAATCATAATGGAAAAATTATCATGTTAGCAATCTTTCCAATACATTCATCACAGTGGGCATACCGCATATCATGCTTATCATAAAATCGGTATCACTACCAGCATTCACAGTCAAACACTCAATTGTTAACCACTCACTCTTTAGATTCACCTACTCCCAAAGTAGAAGCCTCATTCATCAAGCCAAGCCAATCCCATTGTTTAGGACTTTTACCATTACTCGGGAGAGAGGGCAATGACAATGAGTGTCTCATTCGGTAATGCCCTCGCACTTGCTAGGCACGGTTCACTATTTACTTCTTATAATACACTGAATTTCAGGGGGCGCGACCCATCCATTACACTTTTCACCTAAGTTCGCTCCTATCATATAGGGAGTTACGGAACACTGCTTGCCTCACTATCATACTACCACGGGTGACCTGTGCGTAGTATCACTTAAATCATTTTATCATTATCGAAGCACAATATGGTCATGCTTAAAGCATGCCGATAGTTCACATAGCACTTGGCACTTATCACTTGTCACTTAAATCACTTTACACTTATCAAACACCGAAGGGTCATGCTTGAAGCATAACATCAGGTCACACTTCACTTGACATCCATCAATTGGCATTTACTCCTATTGCATGATTAACACATGAAATTCACCATTTGGCATTCATTGTATAGCATTCACATTCATTACATGAATATAACATGGCACTCACTAATTAAAATTCACACTCATGCCATGCTACTCACTGCATAGTATGCACTTTCACTATTTGGATATCACATAACATTCACCAAGTAGCATTCACATCCATTTCATGGTATTCACTGCAGAGCATTCACATTCACTAATTGAATATCACATAACATTCACTACATAGCATTCACACCCCTTTCATGGTATTCACTGCATAACATTCACATTCACTAATTGAATATCACATAACATTTACTAAATAGCATTCACACCCTTCATGGTATTCACTGCAGAACATTTACATTCACTAATTGAATATCACATAACATTCACTAAATAGTATTCACACCCCTGTCATGGTATTCGTTGCATAGCATTAACATTCACTAATTGAATATCACATAACATTCACTAAATATCATTCGCACCCCTTTCATGGTATTCATTGCATAGCATTCACATTCACTAATTGAATATCACATAACATTCACTAAATATCATTCGCACCCCTTTTATGGTATTCATTGCATAGCATTCACATTCGCTAATGATATTCACTACATAGCATTCACACCCCTTTCATGGTATTCACTGCATAGCATTCACATTTACTAATTGAATATCACATAACAGTCACTAAATAACGTCCACACCCCTTTCACGATATTCACTATATAGCATTCACATTCACTAATTGAATATCACATAATATTCACTAGATAGCATTCACACCCATTTCATGGTATTCATTGCATAACATTCACATTCACTAATTGAATATCACATAAAATTCACTGAATAGCCTTCATACTTAAGCATGCACAATTTATGGGAAGTTCTGTCAATAGTGATCTAACCCCTGTAAAATGGGCGTAGCTTTCAATCTAGGGGGTTTTTTATGAAAGTCTTTTCATGAAATTTTAAGTGTTCTCGTAAACCTTTCAAATGGTGATTTGGTTGTTAAAGGATCTTTTTACGTCAGTAAAAAATTGGGGGAAATAGTGACATTTCTAAGTTTCCATAATAACCCACAGTGACATGTCTTCGTATTTAATCGGGCCACTCTCAAATTAGGCATAATTTCGAAAAGTGCTCAACATGTGATTTCAAGATTACTCATAAATATTTAAAATGGCTATGTTTTTGAAGAAAACGGGCATCATTTGGTCATTTAAAATGTATATCAACAGAAACATCAATTCTACAATTTATTAAATTGTCCACAGTGACCTATTTACATCATTGAAAGTATAACTTCTTATTCATGAGGAATTTGAACATGGGTTTAACATAAACATTGTAGTGGACAAACACACGGTTCAAATGGTAGTAATTTGAAAAAATTTAGACACTTTTTGGTTGTTCAAAAGTTTAGTGCAAGGTAGATGGCAATGGCTGGAATTCCTGCTATCTGTTAACAGTGACATAGTCTTACATAGTGAAGTTTAAATCCTAACATGTGCAAAATATCATGATTTCACCAGAATAAATGTTGTATTAGACACACATAGATTTCATTCAAGACCTATTTTAGCTCATATAGATTCCTTTTGGTCACTGAACAATTGGGTACATAAATACGTATAGTTCCTGGAATTTCATTTCCCCATTCCTTTCCCAAGCTTTTCTTACATGCACATGCATAATCATTCACAAGCAACACCCCTCAAACCACAGTTTGATACTCAGTCAAAATATACCCCACTTAAACTAAATTTAAAAGAATATTTAGAAAACATTTGCATCATTTACATAGTCTATACAGTCATGAAGTCCAACACAAAGATTTACAAAACTTCAACCTTACTCTTCAACATCCAAACACTTATTTCTATCTTCTACCAATCCATACTTCAAACTTAAACACATTCATGATAGACAACTTCCAAATCTAATTACTTGAACGTCAAAGGTGCCTTCTCCAAACCTTCTTTCACAACCTTTTCTTGCTCCAACAATTGGCTGCCAACCACAAAAGTTCTCCAACTTTTTCCTTGGAGAGAGAAGAGATGAGAGAGAGACATGAGGGAAAGGAGAGAGAGGGAGAGGGCTGGGGCTTTAAAGAGAAAAAGGAGGTGAGGGGTGAGGTGGCAACAAGCCAACTCCAAGTGGCATGTACCATGGCATGCAAAGCCATGTGTAAGGGGAGAGAAAAGGAGGAGGGAAAAAAACGGGTAGTCCCTCAGGGACCACCCTACACCAACTGTCCCGACAATGTAACCCATTCTTCTTTCTTCACCGCCAGAGATACATAGCCGGCGTTACACAGCCAGCGCTAACTTCTCTCTCTTCACAACAGGTGATACACAACCGGTGTTGCTCCTCATTCACAGACGGTATTGTTCTTCTCAATTTCACGTGTTGTGCTGACTTTCTCTCTCTTCACCGTCAGCGTCACCCCCTCACTTCACAGCCAATGTTAGTCCAATTCGCATGTGGCGTTGCATCTTGTGCGCACAGCAATACACAAACGGCGCTACTCATCACTTCATTCATGCACGACGCTACCTCTTTTTCATTCTCGGTGATATCCTCACGGCAATGCCCCTTCACGCTCACGGCGATGCCTCCATTCACGCGTGGCGCTAGCCCTCTACGTGCGTGGTATTTCTCTTCGATGTGCAAGACGTTCTTCCCTCACTCACACAATGTTACCTCTTACGCGCTGGCGTTAGTCCCTCACGCACGTGGCGATAGTCCCTTACACATGCGGCAATAGTCTCTTACACATGCAACGATAGTCCCTTACAAACGCGACGATATCCCTTACACGCATGGTGATAGTCCCTTACCCGCTCAATGACAGTGCCTTACGCACGCGACGACCGTCCAAGCAACGATATGCCTCTCTTCGAGCACGACGTTGGTCTAGACGACATTACTCCACATGGCGCTACTACATCTTCTTCGCTCTCTCTTTCTTTCCAAACGCCGTGGCCTCATACTCCTTGCCATGTGTGTCCTTTCCTTTTTCTATGACTTAGAAAGTGTTGGGTCATTACAATGATTCCTTTTGTATCTCCTGCCTGGTGTTTCTTATGTTGGATGCACTTTTATATTAGATATCATGTTATATCGGCTGCATTGATTTGATAACCAATATGCTCGACTATTGCACTATTGTACTTGATGATTAATGACATTATTCTTGACACCTGAGCATGATTAATGTCCATTCATAAAACTATTTCTTCTTACTGAGATTCAAAGCTCTTTCCACTATATTTTCTCCCTGTAGATTGTAAGCAGCATGTTACAAGTTGGAGGTGTGGACTGCAGCTGAAGACTGAAGCGACTACTTTTTGAAGAAGCTCGAGAATCTTATAGGTTTTGGGTCCTTAGCCATGCTTATATTGTTTCTTAGGGATTTTGTAATTATGGACCTTGAAGCCTTGATTTGGATTGTATCACCTTTTGAACTATAATACAATGTAATATCCTTCTCAAGAATGGGCTTTGTTAAGTTTTAATTTATAGCAATGTTTACTTCCTTGGTTTGTTGATTACCATATTGTGGCATTAAATTTACCCCTACCTGGGTGATAAATGCTACATTGGGATCAAGAACCCATGCCCGGTCACCTTCCGTTGAGAAGGTTTGGTAGATGGGAGCAGGGTCGTTACAATTATGGTATCAGAACAGCTAGGATAGGGTCTTTAGCCTAGGGAGTTTAAGAGAGTCTTTAGAATAGCTTTGGGGTAGTCATGTGATTGGGTGCTCTTGTGGTTAGGTTGAAGATTCCAAGAGCTCGTACTCACAACGTGAGTTCCAGCAATGAGAACACCGAGGCACTCGATGAATTCTATAAGACTCGGGGGCCATGACCCAGATGATAAAAGAGTTGATGCCAGTTCAGTCAACGCCACCCCAGAGCAGGGTGATAGTGTCTTGATTGAGAGGTTTAGAAGGCTAGTGCCCGCAACCTTTCTGGGGGTAAGTAGGAGTATAGAAGGTCGAAAGATGAAAGTGGCAGATAGATAAGATTTTGGAAGTGTTGCACTGCTTGGATGAGAAGAAAGTCAGATTTGGGACATTCATGGTAGAAGGTGAAGCTGAACACTGGTGGAATTTGGTAAAGCAAACTTGGAGGGAGTTAGGAACTGAACCCACTTGGGAGAACGTTTTGGTAGCCTTTGATGAGAAATACTTTCCAGACTCAGTCAGGGAGAGGAAAGAAGTAGAATTCATAGAGCTCCAACAAGGGAACATGGTTGGGGAACATTATGCCACCAGGTTCACAGAGCTCTCTAGGTATGCGCCCCATATTGTAAACACCGAGGCATGGAAGGTGGTCAAGTTTGAAAGGGGTCTATGGCTGGATATAAGGGATAGAGTGATGTCCGCCAACCTAAAGTCGTACGCCCCGATGGTAGACTTCGCACTAAAGATCGAAAGAGATTGCGAGAACCACCGATCGAGGAAGGAGGGAAAAATGAAGGCAGCGTTCGAGGCTCAGGAAAACACCCCGACAAGTTCCAAGAAGAGAAGTGAGAAGGAGGTAATATCAGCTGAACCCGAGATCCCAGAAGAATTCCCTGAGCAACACGAGCAATGATCGACGCTCGGTTTGCACTCACTGTGGGAAAGACAACTACACTGCCGAAGATTGTTACCGGAAGAAGAATGTGTGCCTAAGATGCGGCAAGCCGGGTCACTGGGCTAGGGATTGCTCTATGATGAAGACTCAAGGATGAGTGTTCGCCCTGACAGAGCAAGAGGTCAAGGCGTCCACCTCAATAATTCGAGGTATGCTCTCAATTTGTGATGCTATCTTCTCACTCGTTTGTTGCACCCCATTTTGCTTGCCATTTGAATGTTTTACCTGCACACCTTAATTGCACCTTGGTATTATACACACCAATGGGAGGCTCTATGGAGTCAGATAGATTATATAAGCAGTGCAAGGTTTCAATTGATGGTTGTGATCTGCCAGTAGATCTAATTCACCTAGATATTCAAGACTTTGATGTCATCTTGGGCATAGATTGGCTGTTTACGCACCGTGTAACCGTCGACTGTCATGAAAAGATAGTGAGCTATAAAAGTCCTAATCAAACATAATTACACTTTGAGGGCATTAAAGATACTTCTCCTCTGCATTTTATCTCTGGCCTCCGAGCCTCCCACCTCCTGGCTAAGAGATGTGTAGGGTATCTGGCCTATGTTGTAGAGAATAAGGGGTGTTTTGTCCCAACTAAAAGGAATACCAGTGGTAAAACAGTACCCTGAGATATTCCCCGAAGCGTAGTCATCCCTGCCTCCAATAAGAGAAATTGACTTTGAGATAGATGTAGCCCTAAGCACTACACCCATCTCCAAAGCCTCGTATAGAATGGCTCCAGCTGAGTTGAAGGAATTAAAAGAGCAGCTGCAGAAATTGTTGAATAAGGGGTTCATCCGACCCAGCGCATCACCCTGGGGTGCACCAATCCTGTTTGTGAAAAAGAAGGATGGGTCCTTAAGGCTGTGTATTGACTATAGACATTTGAACCAAGTGACGGTGAAGAATAAGTACCCTCTACCCAGAATTGACGACCTTTTTTATCAACTCCAGGGAGCTCAGGTGTTTTCTAATGGCAAGGGAAGGAGACATCCCAAAGACTGCCTTCAGAACTCGATACTGTATTACGAATTCCTTGTAATGTCATTCGGGTTAACCAATGCCCCTGCTACATTCATGGATCTTATGAATAGGGTGTTCCGACCTTTTGTGGATGACTTTGTGGTGGTCTTTATTGATGGTATTCTGGTATACTAAAAAAGCTGGGAGTTACATGAGCAGCATCTACGATATTTTTTGCAAACTTTAAAGTCAGAAACGTTGTACGCCGCATTTAGTAAAAGTGAGTTTTGGCTTCGCATTGTAACCTTCCTGGGTCACATTATTTCTCGGGATAGGATCGCGGTCGACCCCTCCAAGGTTGAAGCCATACTTAGATGGGATTGGCCAGAAAATGTGGCTGAAGTTCGTAGTTTCTTGGGGTTATCCGGATACTACAAGCGCTTCCCCTAACTCTGCTGACCTAGAAGAACGTAAAATTCATATGTTCAGAAGATTGTGAGAGAAGTTTTCAAGAACTTAAAAAGAGATTCACTACCGCGTCGATCCTGGCATTGCCCGAGTGAAATGAATACTTCGTGATTTATACTGATGCATCTCATAAAGGGCTCAGGAGTATACTAATGCAAAGAGGTAAGGTTATTGCTTATGCCTTCAGGCAATTAAAGTCACACGAGCAGAACTATCCCACTCATGATTTGGAACTCGCGGCAATAGTATTTGCACTTAAAATCTGGAGGCACTACCTCTATGGAGCCCAGTTTAAGGTGTTCACGGACCACAAAAGCCTCAAGTACCTGTTTTCCCAGAAAGAGTTGAACATGAGGCAAAGGAGATGGATGGACCTACTAAATGACTATGATTGCATAATCGAATACCATCCAAGTAAGACTAATATAATAGTTGATGCCTTAAGCCGAAAAACCGTGGTCACGATTGATGGTGCGAGAAATGAAGTTGTTGGAGGATGTAGTGGAATGACACCCATCTCAACCCCTCGGTGAAGGGAGGGATGTACTATCATGTGTGAGGGTGGAGCCCCAACTCTTCCAACAAGTCCGAGCAGCTCAGAAAGAAGATCCCCACCTGATGAAAATCCTTGAAGAACTAAAGATATGAGGGAAAGAGAATTTTTTTGTAGACAGTGATGGGCTGTTAAGGTTTAAGGGCCGAGTATGTGTTCCCAATAATGAAAGTGTAAAAAGTATTATTCTGAAGGAAGCACACCACTCTCGCTACATGATACATCCTGGGGGTACGAAGATGTACCAGGATTTGAAAAGAGCATTCTGGTATAACAACATGAAGAGAGATGTGGCAGAGTTTGTGGCTAAATGTCTAACGTGCCAACAAGTAAAGGCCAAACATCATAAACCTGCTGGATTGTTACAGCCTCTGCCCATACCAGAGTGGAAATTGGAACGCATCGTAATGGATTTTGTTTCTGGGTTACCAAAATCTAGTGCAGGGCATGATAGTATCTAGGTCGTGGTGGACCAACTAATCAAGACTACTCACTTCTTACCGGTTCGCACGACCTATACATTGGACAAGTTGACCCAGCTATACATCAGAGAAATTGTGAGACTTCATGGGATTCCTATCAGAATTGTATCAGACAAAGACCTTAGGTTCACCTCTAGATTTTGAGCAATCCTGCAATCGGCCCTAGGGACTGAGCTTACTTTTAGTATCGCCTTCCACCCCCACATGGATGGGCATCTGAGAGGACCATTCAAAACTCGTACTACATTTTAAAGGCTTGTGTGATAGATTTTAAAGGAAGCTAGGAAGACCACCTACCCTTAATAGAATTTTTCAACAACAGCAGCTTCCAAGCTAGTACTCAAATGGTGCCTTATGAGGTCTTATATGGAAGGAAGTATAGATCACCCATCTGTTGGGATGAAGTGGGTGAAAGAAAATTGATGGGGCCTGAAATTGTTCAAATAACCTATGAGAAGATTGCCTTAATTAGAGAACGGCTCAAGACAACCCAAAATTGGCAAAAGAGTTAAGCCGATAATCGCAGGAGGACCTCGAATTTGAGATGGGAGACCGAGTCTTCCTAAAGGTATCGTCAACGAAAGGTGTTACAAGATTTGGTAGGAAAGGGAAATTAAGTCCACGATTCATTGGGCCGTTTGAAATTTTGGAAAGGTTTGGAAGTGTGGCATACCAACTCGCACGTGCCACTAGAATTGATCGGCATTCATGGTGTATTTCATGTGTCCCTACTAAGGAAATATCAGCCCTACCCTTCCCATGTTTTGGAGTACAAAACAATCCCGCTCCGAGAAGACTTGACTTACATCGAGCGGCCAATCAAAATGTTAGTTTGGAGGATACAAGTATTGCGAAATAAAGAGATTCCCCTAGTATGGGTGCAATGGCAATATCACATGAGGGAAGAGTCAACGTGGGAGCGGGAAGATGAAATCAAGGTGAAATACCCGCACCTCTTTGAGTGATGATTTTGGGGAAAAAATCCCTATTAAGGGTGGGGGGGTCTTGTAAGTGGTATGATTCAATTGAGCCTAACCCCTTGCAATAGTGGAGAGAAGGGAGCCTTAAGAAATAGAAGTGCACGCCCGATAGTGAGGACAAAAGGTGAGCATCGGCCGTATGGCAAGTGAGATACCGTGCATGCAAGAAGGAGCATTGCCATTGAAAGAAAAGGCTAATGCCAAGTGCAAAGTGGAATACCGTTGTGTGAGAAAGAGGGGTATACCCGGCTGGGAAACTAAACCTTTCGCCCCCTAGATTAAGGACGCGGCAGAGAGGAGAAAGAGAGAGGCTAGCTATCGTCGCATAGAAGGCGTAAGGCTATCACTGTGGGGAAGATGGAAGGCTATCACAACGTGAAAGGCATAAGGTTATCATCACGCGGAAGGCGTACGGTTATCGCCACGCAGAAGGCATAAGGCTATCGCTGGGCAGAAGGCGGAAGGCTATCACCGCGAGGAAGGCGTAAGGCTATTGTCGTGTGGAAGGCGTAAGTCTATCGTCATGCAGAAGGCAGAAGGCTTTCGCTGTGAGGAAGGCCTAAAGCTATTGCCGCGTGGAAGGCAAAGTATCGCCACACGAGGAGGAGGCTATCTCCGTGTGGGTTAAGCGTTGAACGATGGCCCACAAGGTCAGTGTCTGCTGCTTTTGTCAGAGACATGCCATGCAGTTGACGCCCGCCACAGTTTTCTTCCCCACCTATCGCGACGTTAGTCACATTGAGCTTCACCAACTCCCATCAACCACCGTCACCTACCACTGCGTCTTTAAATAGCACCCTCGACCCATCACCACCTGCTTTCCCTTTCCTTCTCCATTTCCCCTCGCCCTTACGCCCTGCGCACCGTGAGAGGCATCTGGAGCAAAGGCAACTACGTGAAGCTTCCGTGGGGTACGCGGAGGGCGGCGGACGAGCTGTGTGCAGGGCAGGGAGCGCCATGAACAAGGTAAGTGGGTTTAGTGTTATGTTTGTAGGCCTAGTTGGAACTTAATGGAATGTTGTCAAGGGAAAGAATGAATGGAGAATAAATTGTAAATTTTGAGGGAAATCTTGGAGCCCTTTTTGTGCCAAAATCGCTAGCTTATTCAATGAGATTTGGGTTAATTCATGAGCATGTAACACGACAATGACACCTAGAATTTCCAGCAACATTAAGGTGATTTCCCGGCACTTTTCATTAGTCAAACAGCACCTGTTTGGGCCCAAATTAGCTTCAAACAAATGATATACATATCTAGTTAAAGTTTGTTTTCTGCACCATGTTATAATCATATGAAAATTAATAGATATGACCCCTTATGTGAAATATGGCATTACCCCTGTTGCTATGAATTTCCAGCACCTGTGACCCTCTTTGGGCCGCATTTTTGGCCAGGTAAATGACACCTAAATGCCCCACCATTGTAAAGCCTTGTGAATGAATGAAAGGTTGCATGTTTTAGGATTTTTGAAATTTCCTATGAATCTTGATTTATGTTTGAAAATGTAT